TAATATTCTCTCTTTGTCTTTTGCTCTTGGAATTTTAATTATGATGTGTCTTGTTGTGGTCCTCCTTGGATTCCTTTTGTTTGGGGTTCTGTGGGCTTCCTGGATTTGTAAGTCTATTTCTTTCCCCAGGTGGGGGAAGTTTTCTGTCACTATTTCTTCCAGTATTCTTCCGGTATCTTGCTCTCTCTCTTCTTCTGGAATCCCCATAATTCTGGTGTTGGTTCGCTTGAAATTGTCCAGAGATTTCTTACACTATCTTCAACTTTCTGGATTCTCTTATCTTCTCCCTTCTGCAGAGGAGTATCCTCTGGCTCTTCATGTTCTAAATCTTTGTCTTGATTCTTGTGATCTTCCAGTCTGTTTTTAGGACTTTGTATAATATTTTTTATTTCAGACAATGTTTTCTTCATTTCTTGTTGATCCCTTATTATTTCTAGTTGCTCCCTTTTCATATCCTCATAGGTCTCATTTATTTTATCGGCCTTTTTTAGGATATTGTTGAATAACCTTATAACTGTAGTTTTGAACTCAATGTCAAATCTTTTCTTTTCCTCCATCTCCTTCCTTTGTCTCCTTCCTCTTGTCTGCATTTTAGTTGTTTCCCTGATTTGATGGAATAGCTTTGTGTGCTAGGTGTTCTGGTAGAACCCAGAAGGAAGCACACAGAGGTGTGGTCCTCTTTGGATTCCTCTGTGTGCTTCCCAGTTACCTGCGGTGGACAGTCTTGGTGTAGCCCTTTGTGGGCTGTGTGTGCAGCCTTGCTTATTGTTGGTATCACTGGGAAGCGTTGATCTCCAAGGCAATTGGCTGTGAGGATCAACAGAGTCTCAGCTAGGAGGGCTTCTGTACTCCGCTTGGATAGGGCGGGGTCTCGGGGTGGCACAGACAATCTTTGGTTCCCTGTCAGTCTCGCCTTAGAAAAGACCTGTTCTCGGAGAGTTTCGGAAGATTGGTTACAGACGCGCGCACCTCCTTGGTAAAAGCACAGACAAGCTTTGGGTTCCTTCCAGTCCCTCCTTAGAGAAAGCCAGCCTCTAGGAGAGTTTCTGTGCTCAGCCAGAGATGGGGCGGAGTCTCGGGTTGGTGCAGACAAACTTTGTTTTCTCTTGGGCTCCTCCCCAAGTCCCGCAATAATGGCCCCTGACTTCACACACCTCCGAGAGATCTCTGCCCACTGCCTGACAGTCTGGTCTCTCCCTGTCTGGGGCCGTCTATCAGAGCAATAGGCTGATTCTGTTTTCCTCTCGAACAAGAAAGCCAGTTGCGCGTTAGCTGTCCACCCTCTCTGTACTGGGAGTAATCCAGTAGCGAACTCAGTCCGGCCCGCCCTCTCTGCGCACCAGGAGTAAGCCAGCAGCAATCTCAGTCCGGCCCTTCCTCTTCGCGCCAGGAGTAAGCCAGCGCCTTTTCGCGCACACAGTTCTCCATACCTGCACAGTTCCTGAGGTTCAGCGTGCTTTCTCTCTCCTTCCCAGATGGCAGAGCCTCCTCCCAGCTAGCCGTCCGGCACTTCAGGGCAATTCCTCCCCCGTTTTTCAGTTCTAAATTCAAATGTGTTGTGGTAGGCTGCATTCGGGTGTCTACCCTATGCTGCCATCTTGGTTTCTACACTGCCCTTGGCATTTTAATTATGATGTGTCTTGGTGTGGTCCTCTTTGGATTCCTCTTGTTTGTGTTTCTGTGTGCTTCCTAAACTTTTAAGTCTATTTCTTTCACCACGTAGGGAAGGTTTTCTGTCAATATTTGGAGGTTCTGGAGCTGTCTGACAAGTTTGCTAGGTTTAGTTGCAATAGGGAAGGCCATTCAGATGCAAAAGCTGCTGCCTGGAGCTTGGGTGGGTTGGTAGATTGTGCAGGGCAGAGCCTCAGGGTGTCACTAGGCTAGGGCGTAGCAAACAGCAATGGCTGGCAGTGAGCCATCCCGCGCCTCCAACCACGTCCCCACATCTCGTGCCCCAGCACAGCAAACAATTATTCCTCCATGCAGCTCTGCAAGCCAGCCACCTTCACTTTCCGACCCGATGGCAGACAGTCCAGCTTCTCCCCGTAGGTGTTTGGGTCTCCCGCATCTCCCCTTCAGGTTGAAGAAAGCAATGCCCATCGCCAGCAAGCATCCGCTGCCAGCCTGTATCGCGCCCGCTTATCTGTTTTTCAGCATTTGTGTACTGAATGCTCCCCTTTCTTTCCATTTGGTTGTAGAACTTCCATTCAGCCAGCTCTGGGTGATAGACCTTTTGTCTTTTAGTTGTAATTTTGAAAGTATTGTGCAAGGCAGCAGTTTAGGTGTTTACTTACGCTGCCATCTTGAGTCTTTGTTATATTTCTAGTACTGTACTAAATTTTGAGGGGGAAAAAAATTCTCAGGCAAAGAGATGTGACTCCTGTCCCCATAATCTTAGGGAAAAATGCTTTATAGCCATGGTAACAACCAAATGATGATGGTTCTGTAGACATGGTAACAATTGTCTAACAGATCAGGCACAACTCCCTTCAGTGAACATGCCTTTGAGAATCAACCAATCAGTGACAGCCTCAGGCTTTAAATGTCAGTCATTTAGCAACAGAATCAATTGCTTCTAAGACTGACATTAACTGGCTGTCACCTATCTAATCAAACATAAAAGATGCTTCTCTGACTAGCACTGATCCACTCCTGTGTGTTGTAACCAACACACGAAAACAATTTCTTCCCAAAAATTCTATAAGAGATCAGAAGTTTGCATTCTTCAAGGAAACTGTGCCTCTGAATTAAAAAAAAAAATTTTTTTTTAAGAATAAACAAATGAATGGAATACTATACTCAAAGATAACAAAAATTAACATCATTAAAATGTCCCTATTACCCAAAGTAATATACAGATTCAATGCAATCAATCCCTACCAAAATACCAATGGAATATTTCACAGAACTAAAACAAATAATATATATATTTATATGAAACCACAAAAGACCCTGAATAGCTACAGCAATTTGATAAAGAACAAAGTTGGAGGTGTTACACTACCTGATATCAAATTATACTACAAGGCCGTAGTAATAATCAAAACAGCATGGAACTGGCATAAAAACAGACATATAGACCAATGAACCAGAATAGAGTGCCCAGGAATATACCACTGCCATTATGATCAATCTCTGACAGAGAAGGCAAGAACATTCAATGGGCTAAAGACAGTCTACTCAAAAAACATGGTGTTGGGAAAACTGAATTTATAGATAAGCACAAAAAAATGAAACTAAACTTTCTTCTTATTCCATATACATAAATAAACTCAAAATGGATTAAAGAGTTAAATGTAAGACTCGAAATCATAAAACTCATAGTAAAAGACATAGGCAGAAAAATCTCAGACATTTCTCTTGGCAGTGTTTTTTCTGATATATCTTCTCATGCAAGAGAAACAAAAGAAAAAATAAACAAATAGGACTATATCGCACTAAAAAGATTTTGCACAGCAGAAGAAACTATCAACAAAAAGAAAAGACAACCTACTTGAATGGAGGAACATATTCACCAATGATATATCCAATCAGTGGTTAATATCCAAAACTCATAAAAAACTTGTACATCAAGAAAATAAACAATCCAATAAAAAATAGGCAGAGGACCTGCATAAACACTTCTCTAAAGAGAATATGCAGATGGCCATTAGACACATGAAAAAATGCTCACCAATCATCAGCAGATAAATGCAAATTACAACCACAATGAGATATCACCTCACACCTGTCAGAACGGCTATCATCAATAAATCAATAAACAAGTGTTGGTTAGAACGTGTAGAAAAGGGGACCCTTGTGCAATGGGAACTGTTGGTGGCAATGCAGAATGGTGCAGCCACTGTGGAATACAGCATGGAAGGCCCTCAAAAAATTAAAAATTGAACTGCCTATGACTCAGCAATTTAACTTCTGGTTATATCATTCATATATATATATATATATATATATATATATATATATATATACACACACACACACACACACACACACACACACACACCCCTAATATGCAAAGTGTCCTCTTGGGAGTTGGACCAACCAGGTGTGTGATCGCTCACTATGATGTGTGCTGATCAAAAATTCTAATAGAACAGGGGGCAGCACAGAATGAAGGAAGGCGCCAGCCAGCAGCTGGGGAAGGGAGGCCCCAGCTGGTAGCCAGCAGCCACTAGGGACTCTACCCATACACGAATTTTGTGCACTAAGCCTCTAGTTATATATAAAAACTACCCACACAACATAGGGATGGTCCAATTATGTTCATAAACTCACATTTAAAAGAAGAAATGCAGAAAGCATCAGGCACCTAGCAATGGGTTTAGAAACTGAAAGGTCATGAAACATAAAGAAGCTAAAGGGACTACGATGAGCTACGGGTGAGAGAAAGTTATGGGTAAGAAGTTATTACACAGTTGAGTAAAGATAGCACAAAACATGTATGAGGAAAACCAATAGGAGCAGACAGAGTGAGAACCTACCAAGAGAAGAAAAGATGAGAAGAGGAGCTGGTTTTACATTAAAATGAGAAAGTATTATAAAGATCCAAGATCTCTTGCTTATCAGTTTCTAGAGAGCTACTATAGTAACAGCTACCACTCTACCCTACTCTCGTATGAACTAACCTGAGTGAGACTCTAACTCTTACAAGTAAAACGACTTAACTATAAAAAAAAAAAAAATTTTATTATAGGGAAGTAACCAAACTCAAAAAAGTGGGGAGACCTGACAAAAGACACAGAGCTAATGCTTTTTTGGTCAAGAAGAATGCGATAGACATTGAATATACTTTACTGCTTGATAAATATTTACTGACAAAAATATTCATTAGTGTAGATCTTTCTTGTATGTTTTCTTCTTTTCTGCCCTTATAAGAAATTGAGACACTTTATGCTAATATATCACAGCACATTTTTAAGTGTTTCTTAAAAAAATTCTAACAGAACAAACTTTATCCATCAATAAACATAACACCATCAGCTCTGATAATAACTGAATACCTGTAAGAACTTTCAATTCAGCTTCATCACTGTACTTTGGTGGCCCACCACTTTCAACTATGCAGCGATAAAGTCCCCCATCTCCTTCAGTTGTGTTGCTGATAACCAGTGTCCCACTTGGAAGTTTGAGAAATCTACCATCCAGAAGAAGAGGCTGCCTATTCAGTTCCCATCTCACAAATGGAACCAAATCTGCATTAACTTCACAATTCAGAATTGCACTGTCCCCAGCATAAACTGAAGAATGTTCTGGTTGACTGGAAAATCTTGGAAGACCTGAAAATTAAAGAGAAAGAAGGAAAAAATGTAGTTAAACATTAATTTTCAATGTAGTGATGGGAACCAGCAGCAAGTCAACCCATGTGGCCACATATATGGTGGGACCAGGGTCAAGAAGGAGATTCATGAGTCAGGAAAATGGCTACATACAGGATTACAAATCAAACAAGTAAATGTAGTAGGGATACTTGTAGCCATATTCCTCACAGTCAGAGAAGCACAGTACAAATATGGAAAAACAGAAGAGCTGAATAAATCCCATGATGTTAGACTAGGATAGAGGTATCAGTGTAAACTTATGGTTTTACATAATTACTAGAGGCCTGTTGCACAAAGATTCATGCAATAGGCCTTCCTTCCCCTCGCTGCCAGCACTGGTTTTCCTCTGGCACCGGGACCTTTGCTCTAGCCACACTGAAGAAGCCAAGCCCCTCCAATCTTCAGTTTTCAGTCACCTTCAGTCTTCAGTCTTCACTCGGGCCTTCAGTCTTTGCTCAGTGCCTGTGTATGCTAAATTAACCCACCACCTATGTTGGGTTAATTTGCATATTAACTCCTGATTTGCTGGTGGGCATCATGGAGGTGCAGCCAATTTGCATGTTTCTCTTTTATTAGTGTAGATAGATATACAACTATAGAAAGATGTATATATAGAGATGCAAATGTGTATACATGAAATATATATATATGCTTCATATAAAATCATCTGTCCAGAGAGTCCAGAATCAATGTCACTCCAGAGTGACATGATGACTTAATCTTGATTCTAAATACCTCTATTACCAGTGCTCTTTGGAGAAACAGCTGATTATAGGGCTATTATAGAAAAGTACAAGATGAACCTGGGATGTCTTGTAACAGAAAAGAAGCAAGTACCCAAAGAATAATGTACTATAGATCAATCAAAAGAATACAAAAAACAAACTGAAGGGAGTTTCTTCTGGCTAAATCTGGGATAATAAATTATAAATGAATGCAAAAATTAATAGGTAAAAGTTGGATGAGAAATAGGGTATTTATAGGGTATCAAATTATCTCTTCCCAAAATTAATAAAAGTATGAAATATTTTATCAATTTTATAGTGAGAAACATAGGATAGACCACCTTAACTAATAATAAAGATTAACATAACCAATAATACAACAAAACATCACATGCTTCCTGATACAATGCACTAAGAAGAACAGAGCATTACTGTTCTATTTGAAATATGGTAGCAATCATACTTGGGTAAAAACTACTGTTTGAATTTTAACCCTACTATTCTGACTTTGACCTTCACTTACTCGCTTTGTTCATCACGCAATGGGCTTAGGGAGGATAGTTCAAGTTCTGGGCAAGGTTACAGGCAGAACTTTCTTTTTCATTAAAGAGCCAGCCCTATGTACACTTAGTGGTTATCTCAATGCTGGCCTCGAAAACAATGCTGTTCTATCTAATTTAAAAAAAAAAAAAATGCACCTGGCATGGTATTGAGACTGTGGGTATATCTGGTCTCTGGCCTGCAAGGTCAGACAGCTAAGTGTATCTTCATCATTCTTCAAACGGGCTAAAACAAACTAGAAAACAACATTTTATCTAGGAAGAACAGCAGAAAATTCCAAACTACAGTTTGTTGTAGAATGAGGGTTTTCCTTCTCAGAACCTTCAAAAATAACTACTTGCCCCTAAAGCCTCACAGTCGTGTAGGGTCTGCCTGCGTGTGGTACTTTTGCGGCTACCCTGGCCAGTTCAATAAATTCGTGGTACTCTTGCGGCTGCCCTGGCCAGTTCAATAAATTCTTGTTTGCTTTTTAAATAAATTATCAGCCTCCGGTGGTCTTATTTTGAACCCAGGGTTCGACCCCACAACACTATTCATAAAAAAATAAAAATAAATAAAAATAAAAAAAGACAAAATCCGAATTTATTCATAGGAGGGAAGAATCAGAAAACCCCAAATAAGACAAAGAAAAAGAATAATTTGACATGAAAAGTCAAAAAAACTACTAAGTAAAACATGTAATCCAGGATGAGAAAGTAAGGTGGGGGGCGGGGAGAAGGTTAAAAGTTTCTACTTTTGTTTTACTTCTTGCTATTAAGACCATTGAGATAACCAGTGAAATTTGAACAGTATCTATGAATTAAATGATAGTATTGTATCAAGCTTAAATTCCCAAAATTGGTGTATGGTTTTTTTTTTAATATCCTTTTTTTAGAAAACATACATGAATAGAGACAAAATGGCGGCCAAACAGATGGACCTGTTCTGAGCCTAGTCCCAGAGCAGACAGAGAAGGAACAACTCCCTGAGTGTCGCTCGGGGACTGTTAGTTGGCAAGCTAAGGGGTAGCAGAACTCTAAGAGAAGGTAAAGGTCTGTTGGACAGGATTTCCTGACCAAGCAGCCCGCACTGCTGCGGAGACCTCTCCTAGAGCGATGGGATCAGAGGGAAAACTACTCCATCTTACAAAGAAAAGAGGAGCTTATCTGAGGACTGAAAAACCCACAACAGTGGAGACCACAGAACAGCTGGGACGCCCTAATCGGTGCAAACACATGGATTCAAGGGAGTTCATCAATCACCCACCGAAAGGTCAGAGTTTGCCAGGGATAACGTGAGGGATCTGGGTCCACACTGCGATAGCTGCAGCAAGAATTGTGTGCTGCAAGACCCAGTGCTGGGTTTGGCGTGATCTTCCCAAAAATTGAGACTTTTTTTAAAACGCCAAGGGATGGGGGACAAATTGTAAAGAATCAGGACTGTCCTGCCAAAAGCGGAATATCTGGACACATTGGCGAAGACCCATCCTGTGTCTGGTCCCATTCACCCCCTTGCTTCTGAGTACTAGGGAACACTGCCCAGTTTGGCATATCTTGGGAGACTGCAGGGGAAAATTGCATTCCTGGAAATGGGTTCAGAGCAGGAAGAGACCATATGGGAGCCAGCACCAAGGCAGCCTACCTCAACAAACCATAGAGAGTGCCATAGAGAAAGAAGGCTACAGCAGCCAAAATGACGGGAAAGTCAATCCAGAAACAATGCCACGTAGGGGCTAAATTACAAACTGACATTTCCCCCCTCTTTTTCCTTTCCTTTTTTTTTTTTTATTACTTTTAATTAATCAAAAATAAACGGGCGAAAATAACTAAGAAATAGCCTACTTAAAATTAAGGACTAGCTTACAAAAATTAGGTGCAGTGGAATGCAGGGAACTGCAATACTGATTGGAGCGAGAAACAGGCGTGCCAAATAGAATAACAGAGGAAGTGAATGAACACTATTGCACTTTTATGCTAATTTTTCTGTTTTATATTTTATTTTCATTTTTTACATCTTTTAATTTATTTTCATTTTTTACTCTTTTATTTAAGAAATGAATTTTTTTTCTTTTTTCCTCACTTGATTTTACCTTTTCAATTATTATATTTTTCAATTTCAATCATCATTACCTCTGCCATTTTGCATTTTTTGTTTCCTTTTTTTAAGTACCATTTTATTTTCACTTTATTTTACATTGAGATTAGTTTTCATTCTATTTTCATCTCTACTATAGCATCGCTCAACTCTTTCTACACCATCACTCTCTTACTAACCTTTCCCCTTTTTGTCTCTTGGTTATCTTAACGCTTTCGGGCTTTAGTTTTTGCCTATTCTACCTGCATATCCCCTGCTAAAATTCTCACCCTACTTATATATCTAATTTCCAACCACCTGATCCAAGTGCATAAATACCACTCTCCTCGCTATAGTAACTATTAAAAAACACACACACACAAAAACTGTTTTCCTCTCTGTCCTTTTGTGGTTGTTTCTGTGAATGTTGATTATATTAAATTTTTATGCTTTTTAGTAAGATTGATATACTTATTCGTTTGTTATTATTGCCTAGAATTTTTGAATTGCTTTGTTTTTCTTTGTTTTGTACTTCTGTTTATCCTAGCCTTGATTGATATTAGTGGGTGTTCTGGATTGTATTAATCTCCAAGTATTGCTGCTGGCATTTGCAGGGATTAGTGGTTGTTCTATTGGAATTTTCTCCACATATATATAGTTAATATGTCAGTCATTATGGGGCCTGGATCTGGGCTGGAGCCGGGTCTGCCACTGACTGAGAACCTTCAGTTATCATGAGGGCAGCCGTGAGCATCAAGTAGTGTCACCAGAGACAGACCAGCACTCAGTATCTTCGTAAAATCCCCTTTACTCTCTTAGTCTTCTTTTCTCTCCCTTTCTCTCTCTCTCTCTCTCTCTCTCAAACTCTTTTTTTTCCTGTTTCCCAATTTCATTTCAGCACTACTTTTTTTTCTTTTCTTTTCTTTTTTCTCTTTATCCCTCGTCATTTTTTGTTTGTTTGTTTGTTTGTTTGTTTGTTTTACTTTTCTTCTTTCTCTCCTATCACCTAATTTGCCTTTCTCTAGTGGTCACCTTTATTGGAGGTTATTAATATCGCAAATACATTCCTGTTCAGTGCCTTTTGTGTAGTATCTGGTAGTGTTGTATTTTGTGCCTTTAAATCAACACAGGAGAGAATTACATAACCAGACATCCTGAAAAGAGAGACCATGAGGAGACAAAAAAATAGCCCGCACATGAAAGAAAACCAGACATCACCAAAAAAGGAAGTAAGCGAGTTAGAGGCAAGCAACCTACCAGAGCAAGAATTCAGAGTAATGATCATAAGATGGCTAAAAAGAATGGAAGACAAATTTGACAATATGAGAAACAACCAAGACGAAATGAAGAAGAACCAAGAAGAAATGAAGATGAACCAAGAATAAATGAAAAATGACATAGCTACTATGAAGAACTCAATAGAAAGCATTAAGAGTAGACTAGAAGAAGTAGAGGACTTCATCCGTGAGATAGAAAACAACATGGAAAAAAAATACCCATTTAGAGCAGCTTCTAGAAGAAAAAGAAATTAAAAAGCAGGAGGAGAGCCTACGAGGGCTTTGGGACAATACAAAACAAAACAATATTTGAATGACAGGGATTCCAGAAGAAAAGGAAACT